AACAAGTCATTATTAAGACGTACAATCGTTTATCTCTGCCAAAAGTTTTTCAGCTGAATAAGTGTATACAAGTGTCAACATCATTAAGGCATAAGACACGCTAATTTGATATTAAACATCTCTGAGTTCTTGTCGTTTATTTTCTGAAAATAATAAAATTCTGAAATAACTTCAAGCCATCTTCAATTATATGTGTGTATATGTTATATATAATAACTAAGTTCAGCATAGATCACGGACCTATTCTGATTGCATCATAGATCAGGCTTCTGTACAATATATTAGTCTGTCCTCAAACATGTCCGATCATGATACAGGTCCTTCCGTCATATTTCGAAGATATCATTATTATACAGGATATCATTATTAAACATTAACGTTAATTACTTATAAGACGTAAAGATCATAAGAGAAACGCACACGAACTCTGTTTCACTTACCGTGAATATCTGAAATGTTTCGAAACACAGCTGAAAAGTAGCGGCCACCATAAACAACATTGCACTGTAGCAATTACCGATTGTTTTCACATGCCTTCAAAACATTTTCGAATTTATTCCAAAGTGGGAATAAATTATTCGATAATTTCTATACTTTTTATTCCAATTAATATAATATTATGTTTCTCGTTATGCAAATAACAATTTTCAATGTTTATTTTTCACCGAAATGTCGTCCGATATAACAAATTTTATTTAGTACACTAGTAATCACACATAAATTGTATTGCATTATATAACTATTCCGAGACACGATTATGCAATTTTGATATGACATTGTCATTGTGGTAACTTTTCGCTCTTTTTTTTAAACTTTCTCTACCTTTATTGACACCCATTGAAGTTCACTGTGCAGAAATTATCGTTTGAGTCGCTCCTCACAAACATACCGAATCGACATGATCTTGCGCTTGCTCAGTGTTCGAAGGATTTCAACCCCTACTATCCATAACTATCTTTGTAAACCCTTTCAACAAGAGAGTAAAACGAATACAAATTTCTAATTAAAAATTATTTAATTAACGATTAATTTGAAGGAATTCAATTAAAACTGTTGAATTAACGATTAAAACGAGCGAAAATAATTAAAAATTATTCGATTAACAATTGAATATAGTCAATGTAATTAAGGGTTATTTAATTAACAATTGATATAAGCAATATATATAAGCATATATTCATCTCGGTTGGTTACTATGAGCAATGTAAATAACTACGGTTACAATTTGTTTCGATTGACATCGATTGGTTGATCATCTTACTGCGCTTTTTGATTAAATTTGCTTATATCAATTGTTAATTAAATAACCCTTAATTACATTGACTATGCTCAATCGTTAATCGAATAATCTTTAATTACTTTCGCTCGTTTTAATTGTTAATTCAACAATTTTGAATTAAATTCCTTCAAACCAATCGTTAATTGAACGATTTTGAATTAGATTTTGAATTAGATTTCTTGAAGTTACTGGTTAATTAAAATACTTTTAACTGAATAGACTTATATTGATCGTTAATTAAATTCAATAATTGAAAAAGTAATTACTCGCAATTCTGATCAGAAAAATTACTGAACGTTGAATGTCGTTGCAAGTTGGCGAAATTGTTTCGGATGTTAATGTTAGTTATATTTAAAGTTTAAAGTATTTTAATTGCGCGATATTTTTATTATTAGTATATCTTCTTTATCATTATGTAACATTTTTAAACTTGATTTTGGAGAAAAAGAGTTTACTGTTTAGATCACTGTTTTATATTTTTGAGAAATAAAGTTGCTTTTACTCTAGGTGGAAACAAAAACCAATTTACGGTAACATTTCAAACGCTTGTTTTTACGATATGTCAAACTTTGTCACACAAAAACACTTTAGTGGATCTCTATCTCGAGAGAGAATTTTTTTGCTAGTGTATAAAACTAAAATAAACTTTGATGTCAACTTTTACAAACTTTCACAAAAGCATAAAGTTCTATGACAGATCTGTAGATTGGTCATAGTAAGACACGATTTTTGCGAGATTCTCCTCTAAAGCAATAAGATTAAAATTTCTCCTTGAACAATCATCTGTCATATAATATGTATTTATATTTCTCTCTTCAAATGCGTTAGATATTTAATAACTAATAATAAATAATTATACTCAATGTAAAATCGCGTTTGGAAACGTTATTTTCTGATACTCTTTAAGTGTATATATGTATATATGAGTAAGAAAAATAAGTTATATAATATAAATTGTAATATTTTTATATAATGAAATATATTATGAAAATATTGAAAAAAAACATTCTTTAATACAATACGTTGTATGGAGAGTGAAATGTTCAATCATTTTTGTTATTTACTATTAAGTTTGATATCATACGAAAGTAATTCGTAACAATTAATAGTTTATTTTTCTTCAATATTTAGATCAAAGGAAAAAACTTTAATTAACACAGTCTATGATGTCATATAAACTGTAATGCATTAAATAAATATTTCATGACGCGATTATGCAATTTTAACAGAATGTCGCTGTGATAATTTTCTCGCTCTTTTGTTGTAAAAAGATTTGTTTAATCTTCCGTGATGCTCATTGAAGTTAGCGTGTCGGAAACTTTTGTTTGACTGAATCGCTCCTCGCGAACATGCCAAGCCGCCGTGATTTTGCGCTTGCTCAATACAGTAAGGATTCAATAGCTACCATCTGTGAGTACCTTTGTAAACCTTTTCGGACAATAATCGATAACAAAATATATGGCATACAATCGTCATACGTTAAGCTAGTTATTGCAAGCTTAGCGTTACCTCTAAGAAAACTGTTTACCTGGTGAAGGTATTCGTTCCTTAAAATTTACTGTTGTCCTTTCTTTCTCGCTATTGCATAAAATCAGAAGAAATATTACTCAACTAAAATGAAGCAAGCGGATTACATTTTCATCATCAAAAGACGCTACAGCGTGTCGTGTCAAGTAAACGCGTCGAGCGAAGAACGAAAGTAAGGCCGTTTATTTTAACGTAATACCCGAGCAGAAATTGAATCTAGTGATTGTCTAGTAATGACATAGAAAAGTTGGGTCTTATATCGTTACTAACTAGGAATGTAACGCTCACTTCTCCTAGTGGCTGTACCAGAAAAATTATCTAGTAGCTAGATACAAAAAAATAACTTGTAACTATAATTGGTATAAGTACTAGATAGTTCTAATGTCCAAATCCTATTCAGGATTTACCGATGATTTTCTATCTCGTTACTGTGTAATCATTTTCCATCTAGCCACTATCTATGTAACTAGTATAGTTACTAGATAGACCTGACATTCAAAAGACTGAGTAGGAATATTTAGCCAGTCACGAGCTAGTGACTGGCTAGAAAAGTTATCTAGTCATTACTATCTAACTACTAGTCTTGAAATCTGCTCTACTAGATACATTTTTGCTTGGGTACTTTTAGTTCAGAGATAAGATTTAGGAGATTCGAAAGTAATATTATCACATTATTATTATAACGGCTAACTCGACTGAGTTCTAACTAGATTCAATTGATTCCTCAGTGTCCAATTACATGATGAAACCGTTTTTATTTTTGCACTATATAGTTTTAGATCAAAGATATTCTAACGCAAAGTCAGAAATTAATCAAGTCCTACTATGTGGATATTCCGAAACGTCGTCGTTGTCCAATTTCAGTAAAGTTCGTTTGCGACGCACACTACGAGATTGCGTCATTTGCGTTTATTATCACAAAGTGGCGCTATGTATTGAGTCCCGTACTACATCTGCATATCTCTGCAAACTTCGCACATTCCTTTTGCTACTATCATATATTCTAGGCAACATGCGTACTTTACGTATGCATTCCGCATTATTTTCACATATTTTCTATATCCTTTCCGCATAGGTTGAAACATTTGCTGCATACGTTCTTCACTACTCAGTCAGAACTATAAAATCGATTCAAGGTTGATTCGACATCGAAATGATCGATGAGCCGTTGAATCAATATAGATTCAACCCTTATCGACGTCGAATCAACCTTGAATCAATATGTAATTCTGACTGGGTAATTCTGCACACTTTTCGCATTAATTCCACATTCTTTTCGTATGCATTCTATACACCTACCACATTTCACAATACTTCCATACATTTTCCGCATTCTTTCTACACTAATTTCATACACCTTCTGCATCACTTTTGAACACTTCTCCCATGCATTCCACACTAATTTGATACATTTTCTGTATCCTTTGTCTAAATTCGGTATGTATAATATTCTGTATTATTACTATACATTTTTTCCAGTCATTTCATACTAATTTCGCAAACTTTCTGCATATATTTAGCAATGTTCGCACACACTTTTGTTTGCATTTTGCGCTACTTTCGCATCAATTCTGCATTACATTCGCAAAATTTCCACATCCTATAAATCTTAGAGAATTTTATTCTTATACTGAGGGAAAAATTACCTTAAAATCAACAAATATTTCTTTGATGGGTGCCATTAACATATTTATTTAAATCTGAGTTCTCTTTATTTAAATCAAATATTGTTTATCTAATTCTATATAATATTGTTTATCTAATTTAAGTAAACAATGTTTGGTTTAAATAAAGAGAATTTAGATTTAAATAAATATGTTAATAGCACTCATCAAAGAAATATTTGTTGATTTTAAGATAATTTTTCTTTTAGTGTATAAATAGCTTTAATAAAATTTATGTAAAACCTAAAGAAAAATAATCTAAATACACGGTATTCTTAGAGTTAGAGGAAAGTGTTCTTAATGTTAAAGAAATTTTATTTTACGTTAACTATCTTCTTATGGATGTTGATATTTGCCCAAGTCGAAATTTCGGTTATGCGTTAAGTTTGTAAATATTCGAACTTGTAAGCCAGTGAAAGAAAGTTAATATTTGACAGAAAAAATACTAGTGTCTAAAAGTTGTCACACATTTTATACGCTTACGTTCTTTAATGGTTCTGATCCTCCCCCTGAATTGTTGTTTTTTTTTCTAAACACACATGGCTGTTGCTTGATTTTAAAGATGGTGCGGCAGTTATCTGAAAAACATTGACACTATCCTTATGACTTATGCTTATATAATGTATCCTTAGTGTTTACGAAGCATTGTTATAATTGCATTTTTGAATATTATAGTAGATTATAAATTTCAACTCGACAGACTTTAGCCTATCATATAGTACGACTATTTTTTATTGTTACTTTGTATATATAGAAAATATTGGTTGCCACAATTTTTATATGTTGGTATAACAAACGCTAATTATAACAACAGGAACGAACCTAGGCAACATAATGTTTAAAATCGGGACATAAGACGTCTTAAAGATCATTTTTAAGATGTCTTTCAGACGATTTACGTATAAATGTCTTTAAGATTATCTTTAAGACGTCTTATGTCCCGATTTTGACATTATCTATTGTCTGGGGACAATAATACGTAAGAAGATGATGGAAAAAGAAACAGAAATTTTAACCAATGGTTGCACCTTGACTAATTATGATAACGAGTTACTTTATAAATTATATGAAGTACTTCTGAAAAATAACTTTTCCAAACTTGATATAAATTATAACCAAATAAAGCAAAATAACAAAAAAATTATGCAATCTATATTTTAAGAAAAGAAGTTTATTATATGTAAGAATTGGATGGAAAAAGGTATATTTTTTACGGATATTACCGCTCTGAATAACTCCAATGCGAAGGCCGCGAATTTTTCAGCAGTTTAAGAGGAATCTTAGATCACAATGTACGATAAACATCAAGTCCTTCGCATCCTTCGATGATAAATCGTACCATTTGCATTAGTACATGTCATACGCCATTCCGATACTCTGTAAGTTAGATTCCAATATCATACATTATTATTAGATGATAAACACAGTTGTTTGTCTCACACATCGCGTGTAAGAAGATATACTGTTTAAAATAATTAAGTAAAAATGAATAATATTTAGGAGATTAATAGAGTTCATTTTATATTAGAAGAAGATTATTCTTTTAATAAAAGTTTTCATTTTGAATAAAGGACTACAGGAAATATCGTTTTGTAAATAGAGTTCTCTTTTTTGGTATTAATTGTATTAGTTTATTAACTGTATAATTTTAAGTGTGTAATTGTTAAACAAATCCTCTTGTTGCAGCATGAAAGCATAAAATCTCTGATTTGCATCATTCACTATAAAGACTTGGAAATCATAAAAGTACAATTGAAGAATCAGAAAGTATCTAAATCAAAAGAAAGTATCTAAATCATATTGAGGAAATACAGTTCATTTTCAATCGTTGTTGCAAACTTTAAAACATAGGTATTTCTGAAGATTAATTATAAGTTCACGATAAAAAAAGGAAAGGAAAGAAGAAAAACATCTACCCTTACACTATCGATAAGAAATTATAAACCTATTCAGATGTTTGTAATTCTTCACGATCTGCGCCAGGTTGCTTCTGAAGTCCTCGACCGTTTTTACTCTGCCTAGATCGTCGGAAAGATTATTCAGTCTTTCTCGTAAATTTTGGAACTGACTGCAGACGTGAAGCACCAACATGGAAATGAAACTGTTATTACCGGTGTAGGACACTCGTGCTGTAAATCGACAGGATCTGACATATGCAAATCAGCTCGAAGACCGGACTTCTGGTGATGCTGGAGGGAAAATAGGCTGTGGCATCATGGGACGAGTGGAATCGCTTTGCTATATTCTGAGATCCATTATTGAGATTCTAAACACTAGATACTGCTTACTTGATAAGAGGCAAAAACTCTGATCGCGCAAAGATGAACGAGTATACGTTCACCTCGTTGCACGTGGTAGAAGAGCGGACATTATCATTTAATCACTTAATAAATAAGATACAGAACATAGCAAGATAATAATAGAAAGTACATTACAATATTGTTAAGCAGGGACAAATAAATGGCTGTATTGTTGCGCAAGAAGGTATATTTCACCGGTAAAAGTAAAAAAATTGTAGGCAGTGCGTATGAAAAACCTATTTGTTCATTAATCTTAAAAGTTAAAAGTCATTTGTTGATCAGTTATGCAGTATTCGTATCAGCATCATTTCTAATTTGCGTTATTTTTATTAATCCCTCATTGTCAGCAAGGCAGATAAGTATCCCATTGATGTCTTCACCACCTAAACAAAATAAAAGTAATGAGAAATGAACACTTCTATTGTCATATACAGTAATAATAGATAATCGTATCGAATATAATGTAAGATACAAACTCAGGACGCATTTTTCTTTTGAAGTAACAACTTAACGATTTGTTACTTGTTAAAAAATGGTAACGACATTTAATGTAATTGTTACTTTTACTTTTTACTGTTACTTTGTACATATAGAAGATACTGCTTGTCACAATTTTTATGTGTTGGTACAGCAGTCACCAATTATACCAACATGAACGAAACAATAATACGTAACAAGTTGATGGAAAAAGTAACAGAAATTTTAACCAATGGCTGCACTTTGACAATTATGATAACGAGTTATTTTATTGGTAAAGTATGAATTACTTCTAAAAAATAACTTTTCCAAACTTAATATAAATTATAACTAAATAAGATAAAATAACAAGAAAATTATACAATATATATTTTAAGAAGAGGAATTTATTGTATGTAAAAATTGGTTGAAAAACGCTATATTTTTTTGCGGACATCTCACCGCTCCGAATAACTCCAATGAGAAGGCCGCGAATTTTCCAGCTGTCAGTTTAAGAGGAATCGTAGATCGATGTATGATAAACATCAAGTCCTTCGCATCCTTCGACGGCAAATCGTACCATTTGCATTCGTACACGCCGTACGCCATTCCGGTACTCTGTAAGTTAGATTCCAACATCATACAAGTCATCATTAAAGTGTATAATTTATTATTTACCTCTGCCAAAAGTCTTTCAGCTGAATAGCAATAAGTGTATAAAGGTGTCAACACGTATAAAACATAAGACACGAGGAAAGCCAGCTTGATATTAGATGCTTCTGCGTTTTTATCGGTTATTTTCTGAAAATAATGAAATTCTGAAATGACCCCTAAACACTTTCAATAGTTAAACATGATAACTCAGTTTAGCATAAATCATAGGCTTTTGTATAATATATTAGACTACCATCAGTTATACTCGATCTCGATAACTCTTTCCGTCATATTTTGGAAAGACAAGCTATAGAATATTAAAAAGAGGAAGAATAATTTATAAAAAGCTAAATGCTATTTCCTTTACTAAACTGACTTCGACATTCAAGTATGCTACAAATCGTAGGCATGACAAAAACTTATTCATTAAAGTACAATAATATTACACAAGCAAAAATATTGTTCTGTTTTGTTAAACTTCACAATAATGATAAACGCGGAATCTGAAATAAACATATGATAGTACCTTTTCGGAACATAATCGCTATCTTCATCACCTCGCATCAGTTTTTCGGCAGTATATCTATAGATGTTAGTAGTCTAATATATTATATAAAGAGAGGCTTATGGTATAGATATAATATTATAATATAATAGAAATTACATTTTTTTTTAATAGACATTATTAAACAATTACTGTTCATATATATTCATATATATTTAAGAATATAATGATTTATATATGTTAAGTGCTATGAGACGCTTACTTATGAGACATTCGAAGATCGTAGACAAAACGCATATGTGCTGTTATACTTACTGTAAAAATTTGAAATGTTTCGAAACACAGCTGAAAAGTGGCAGCCACCATGTGTATAAACAACACCGCACTGTAGCAGTTATCGATTGTTTTTGCGTGCCTTTAAAATGCATTATTTATTTGCTAAATAATATCAAATAGAAATACCAGAGTAGAAATTTAATTTCGTGAGCGTCTAACATCGTTATTAGATAGTATAATATAATTATTCTTGTGGTCTAGATAGTTCATTTTTCTTAGGGTCTAGATAGATAAATTAATTGATGCCTAGCCACATAGAAATCATAGTTGTAAAAAGTAAAATCATAATGACAATATAATATTTGCTTTTCACTTTTGCTCTTTTAAGATTTTTATGAAATAAAATAATCACACTTTTGATTTGCTACATAATTTAAAAATACTAGTGTCTTATTATATATTATATACGATAGCAACATTATATATTTTAAAATTTACAACGCTATTTACACTGACATATTTGACTTTGTAATGGCTAAACAGCGTCTATATTACCAATCCTACATTTCAATGAATAATAAACGCGCGAACTAATATAATCGTATGCATCATCGAAATAAATATCTCTAAGTGTTGCATAAACGTTTCTCAACGTTAAATTGCAAATGCATCATTGGAAGAAGTTTTCCGACATACCTGATGAGATCCCTGTGTCGCATAACGATTGCTATCAGACGCTTCTTGAATTTCGAAGATGATATGGATTTGTTGGCCATTTCATCAACCAGCTTGTTGAGTGTCAACCGTAGATTTATCAGCTGTGCGCACACATGCAGCAGAAGTATTGAGACGAAGCTATCGATAGTGCAATTGGTGAAAACTGTATACGTGCCACCAGCGAGTTGAATGAAAAAAGTGATCTCGTAGTTCGGACTCTTTTGAATGCTAAAGGGATAGGTGAAATGATAGACGAGTCTTCGTTGCGGCTGATGAAAGTTTCGAAAGAATCTCAAGAGGTTAAAACACATGTAAAACGAGATCGTGCACGTGGCGCTAATGTAACATTTAAAAGAGAGGCTTCTTCCACGCTTCGCGATCTTCATCATCGTAGCCCGTTCGCGCTTACTCTTCGTGGTAGCCCAGTCGGTCGTGATCGATGACATCAGCGATTGAAGTGCTTCCAAATCACAAACACATTGTATTAATACAAATATGAATTATCAAAGACGTACATGTATGAAGAACGCTCAATGATGGCTGTAAACGCGACATTCATATTTTTAAATATACTGACATCAAAGATTATTAAACGCGCGAAAAATTAATAATAATTTTGCTAAATGATTGTAAATAATGTAATATTCTATAAAATATTTTATCAGAAATATATGTTTCATCATAATTGATAACAATAAATAATAATAATAACAACAATGTTAATAATAATATTAATATAATAATAATAAATCAATAAGTTCATAGGAATTTTTATAAGAAATTCATAGCCAATATATTCATAGTTACAAGACACAACGTTATTCAATATATTGGCTGTTTTTTCAATGGAAGATCGTCATCGGTAAAAAAAACGAAAAAATTGAATTATATTTAATTACAAAAGTGTTAACTTCCAATTATCCGTAAAAATCCTGATGAACTTATCGAACAACTCAATATTTGTAGAATTTTATTGATGTAAACAAAGCTGTAACTTACTTTTGCCGTGATATCGAGTAACAACTAATTTGCAGAACGCCATCAAGCTTAAATTTGCGGCGGCGACTTGCTCTACCATTACTGTCACGTTACCCCAAGCACGAATCGTATTTATTATTTGCGGCAGGAACACATAAAGGCTTATAATTGACAGAACAATCGTGAATCTCAATTTTCGGCGAAAATCGTTCAAAGAAATATGTGGATCGGGCCAAGTGCCTAGTATTCGCAAACATTGGCGACTTAAGGCAAACGCGTAATTCAGTTCTAAGATAATGAAATTTCAGAAGAAATATTATCTCTTTGTATTATTTACGATCTATATGATTACACAAACACATATACACATACACAAGGAATGAATGTGAAAATTGGCAAACAGTAAATAAGGTTTTCAATTATTCTGGACGTTACATTGGACGGCAACAAAGAACGATTCGCGGACGCTTAATTTTATGCGACTAGCCCAACTTTGTTGTCCACACTTTTGAGCGATCTGTATTTCGAAAGGGACTTTTTGCTAGCGTACAGAACTGAAATGACAGAAACTTCTGCAAACTTTCATGAAACATAAAGTTCTATAGACTCTATAGATTGCTTGCGATGAACCATAATTTCCGCGAGTTTGCAAAATAAAATAAAAAGAACAAAATGACACTTTTTACGTGATAAATTTAGCAGGGTTGGGTAAATTAATATGTTTTTTAAACTGAGTTAAATTAAAAATTAATGTCTTGCAAAATTAGCTTTGTTAAGTTTAAAGTTATATATAAACGTTAACTTAAAAGATAAGTAAAAATTGAATTATCTTATTAAAATTAAAAATTACACACAAAACAATATATGGAATATATTTTTTGTATAATTAGCTTTTTAATCACAAGTAAAATTTGTATGAAATAATAAAAAATAAGAATTTTTATAAGAAAGAAATTTTTATAAGAAAATACTAATTAAACTACTCAAGTAGCTGAAAGTTATATACAGGAAAAGAACATTGACGTTGAAAGAGACGAAGAAAAATTCTACACAAAATAAATTATTCGATAATTTCTATACTTTTATTCTGATTAATATTATTATGTCTCTCGTTATGTGAATAGAAATTTTTAATGATTGTTCTTCACCGAGATGTCGTCCGAAATAACAAATTTTACTTAATGCACTATAATCGCGCACATAAATTGCATTGTATTGCATAATTATTCCACTACGTGATTATACAATTTTTATATGACGTCGCGTTATAATTTTTTTTTGTTTTTTCTTCTCAAAACTTTTTCTACCTTTGTTATCACCCATTGAAGTTCACTCAGCGAAAATTATTATTTGAGTGAGTCGCTCCTCAAGATCGTACCGAATTGCCATGTTTTCGCGCTTGCTCAGTGCATGAAGAACTTAAATCCCTACCACCAGTATAAACCCTTTCGTATAAGAATAGACAATGAAACGAATATCGCACAATCACCACACGCTTGGTCAGCTATTACAAAGGAGACACTTGTTCTGCAATCATGACCGAGCTGCTTACTCCATGGAGGTAATTGTTTATTTATATTGTTATGTTGGAGATTGTTATTTACAGCATTTCCGGCACATTTACTAACTTAAATTCATGCTCGTGATGAAATAAAAGAACATAAATTACTAAAACATAAGTAAACAAAGATGCTTGACAAATAAAAACGTTGACTTTGCGTTGTCTTGGATTCAACCTCACAACTGATCGCTTATTATCTGTGAGATTTGTGTATGCAACTTGAATCTTCTGCAGTTTAGTCTGTGTAGTCTCGGATATGACCTCTTTGTTTATTCTGCAAATGATGATTTTTTATCATTATTGTAGAATACGGATGTGATTTCGCTTTGGTACAGACGTGACAATATCTCATTTAAACCCTTATTTCCTGTAACTTGCGATAAAAGAGTATCGCTTATTTTAAAAAGTTTCTTCATTTCAATTAAAATGTTTAAAATTATATATTTACGCATGAGTTTAGTACATATTTTTTGGAACCATATACTTTACCTAAGTTAACTAAATTAATTTAATAATACATAAAAGTCTTTATGAACGAAGCATGCTGCAGTTTTTCTCTTACTCGGTTACTCATTTCCTCCCTACGAATGATATTCTAATGATATCTTAACTCTGTCTTGAGAAATCTCACATTGTCTTAGTATCCCTAGAAGATAGAATATATGGCCATTTTTTGGATCTTTACTGGTTCAGTTCGCAGGTCTCTCCAAATGGCGGAATCAATTACAGTGGTTTGTTACGGGGGCAGTTCAATAAATAAATTGCCTGCATTTCTAGTAAGATTGGACGCAACTTCATGAAACTACTGTAGCATATAAAAGCATCTATTAGGCAGGATAGGTGCAACAAATAGTAGGACAAGTGCTATAACCATGGGTGTCCTGCTAAAAAATAATAAGAAAAAACAGCATCTGAAAAACAGCATTTTATGATAAGATTTGTGGTCAGAAAGAGTGAAATCGAGGGAGATTCATACCATACAACAATGGTTCAGCAGTATGGTGCAAACTGTATGTGTGAAAGGAAAGTGTACCAGTGAGTGGAAAGATTTCAAGAAGGTTGAATATTTGTCGTTGAACATCGCTCAGATCGCCCTTGCACAGCTGTCAATAATGTCAACGTTACTTGCATAGACTTACTTATGCGTCAGAATAGACGAATTTTTATGCCTCTATTGCGAGGACAAAGATTTCACAACAACGGTGAGGTCGACGATGAGGAGGTATATTTCTAGCTTCGAAAATTGTTTTTTCTACTGGAATACAGAAACTTGTCGAAAGACATGAAAAGTTCATCGCAAAGGACAGTAACTACATAGAAAAATAACATTTTATTTGGATTCGTATGTATAATGTACATCTCAATATATTGCAGTTTGCTTTTATTTATTGAATTGTATATTGTGTTATTGTTATATCATGAGATTACAAAGTAATTCACTTACGAATTTCACTCTTTTTAAGAAAGATATAATTGATAATATTTTTATTCTGCGTTTAATAAGTTGCTAATTGATTATATGCTAATCTTTATTATAGTTTTTATTACGTTTGTGATAATATTTACACAATATTATAACGTCTTAAAGACTTCAAAAAACATCTTTTATAACATTTTTTATCCCGATTTAAGACGTCTTAAAGACATTATTTTAATTTTTTCGCTGCCAACGAGATATATACATTTCGGCATATATGTTTTTTCCAACATTAATAATAACATTATTCGACTTAATATATACAAATAGCTGTTTTGATATTCGGAACATTTCAGCTTTTATTCTATTTTTTACTATTGAGACAAATATGTCCTATAATATCCTAATAAGACATTAGTGTCCCGGTCCTACCTTTTTGACAAAAAATATAGAACTTTTAATTTATTTACTAAAACTATATTATATTAATGTATTTAATGATGTGAAAGTAAAGAAAATTGTATCTTTAAAAAACAAAATTAGTATTGAAAGAGTTAAGAGTGACTTTCGTTAATTCCAGTTAAGTTAATCAACGAATTAAACAAATAGGGTGGTCAACTGAAATTGTAATGGATATGAATACTTTGTCATATTTAACTTCAATTTTCTGTTTGTTGAATGTGTGTGTGTCGTTCTGTGTTATATTAAATTAAATAATAAAGACCCATATACCCTTCAATCATCTTTTATGGATAAACATGCCTACTAAATATAACTTATAAATTATTAAAGGCACATTTATTGATTAAAGAGAGTTGAAATTATAGACGTGTTATATAACACGTTGTTATGTAACAGTTACAGTTGCTGAATAGGAAATTACAATTAACAGATATATTACATGTAACATTGTGTTTGCTGGGATTAGATAATGTAAGTAAAATTTTTAAATAATTGAGTGAGTAAGTGCAACGGCAAAAAATAGTATCACTAAATTAATTTAAAATTACCATTTAATATTTATATAGTGAGATAAATATATAAACATATAATTTTATTCGATAAATAATGAATTTATGAATAGCTTCCTAAATGCTGAATCTCTACTCTAAATTATTGAAAATACGCTCCTTGGGCGTATTGAAAATATATACCCGGTAAATAAATTTTATAACTAATATAATAAAAAATAAAGCAGAAAACAATTACAAAATTACATATTATATTGTTTATCCTTAAAAAGAAAATCTTATTGTTTCTCTTTTTAGGAATAAACAATTTATACTATACAGAAAGATATATTTCTTCAATACAAATCACCTAACATACAGTGCATATAAATATATTCAGTCATTTATCATAAACGACATGGCGATCAGTTATGTCGAATTAATATGTTATCTCTTCCAACATTATTTCTTTTAATTGCTCATTGTCAGTAACATAGATAAGTATCCCATTGACGTCTTCACCATCTACAACAGAACAAAGAGAGAACCTATTTTTATTTTTTAATTTTACGTGTAGTAATAATAGACAAACGGCATCCAAAAATATACTAATTCGAAAAGAACTTATTATCATATACTTAAAAGAAGAATTTCTTCTCTTCATAAGAATATTATATATTATAAGATTCTATCTTAGCAAAAATCAGTTCGTCTTAATAAGGACAAAAATTTATTTTAATTTTTTCTTGATTAAAGCATTAAACTTACTACGATTCAAAATGTACTTTTAATAAAATTGATGCTTAGGATGTATTTACGATAAATTTACGATATACTTATAATATACTTACGATATACTTTTGCGGATGTATAAATTTAAAAAATATTTTATACAATTAACATTTAATTGAATGCAATATACATTTATTTGTGCATGAATATTTTGTAAAAAAACATTTTTTACAAGTTGCATGGAAAATCACGTATTTATTTTGCAGATAACTTACCATTCCAAACATCTCTAACGAAAAAATACTGAATTTCCCAGCTGTCAATCTAAGTGGAATCCTAGATCGATACACTGTAAACATCAAGTCTTTCGCGTCTTTCGACGGCAAATCGTACCATTGGCATTCGTATACGCCATACGCTATATTAGTACTCTGAAAATGAGATTTCAATGTTACGTAAAGTCCTCATTAGAGAATATAATTCGTTATTTACCTCCGCCATCAATCTTTCAGCTGAGTAGCAATAAAAATATAAGTGTACCAGCACAACCACGAAATAAAACGCAAGAAAGCTTATTTCAATAACGGAAATATTAACATTTTTGGCAGTCATAATCTGAAAATAATATAATACAAAATAATCTTGTCGTGCGCATTGGATAATGCATCAGTAAAAATTTATGAAGATTAAAGGCGAGTTGTTTATATAGCTCATCTTAAATCTATATTTGCACGAAAATAATAATATGGTGGGTCCGCACTAAAGATGGGCGATACCGATTCCGATTATTTCTATTTGAAACATACAGTAGAGATGGGTGATACCGATTATAGCTTATAATCGATTATTTCTGTTTGATGTTCCATCCTTAATCTGCACATAAATCTGGTTGTGTCAATCAAATTCAGTAGTAAAATATGTAATAATAAATTATGTGACTATGTCGCAACCACAAAGCAATTGATGAATTACTGAATTTACAGCAGAGACGGTATTTGACTGTTCTAATTAGAGTGTATTTATAATAAATATTATCTCAACCGAATTCTGGTTGCCACAAACAAATCACGCATAATTATATTGATGTAGCTGATGTAACTATTTATATAAACTATATATATATATATATATATATATATATATATATATATATATATATAACTATTACACAAAAATAACTAAGATGATGCAAATGTGCTGCTCACAAATAAATATTTCTGATTATGTGTACCATATCTTTTGTTTTTGTGTAGTTACCGTGAAAAACTGAAAGCACTCGAAGCACATCTGAAAAGTAGCAGCTACCATGTACCCTAATAACACTATACTGTAACAGTTTTCAATTGTTCCAGCGTTCCTTAAAAATTCGTACTTATATGATTAAATCTTTTAAAGCATTAAATTACATGCCAAAATTTCGCCTGACATACCTAATAAGTTCTTCGTGTCGCACGATAATTGCAGCCAGGTCTTTTTTAAACGTTAAGGAGGATATAGACTTTTCTGCTAATTTCTTCACCAATTTGTTGAGCGTCACACGCAGATTTATCAGCTGCGCGGATATGTGTAACAGGAGCATTGGGACGAAGCTGTCAATAGTGGAACAAATAAAGGCCGTATATATTCCGCCAAACATTTGAATAAAATATGTAATTTCGTAGTTTGGGCTTTTTTGACTGATATAGTAGTCAAAATGATAGACGAGCTTTCGTTGACCGACAGGTTGATGCATGTTTCGGTGGAACTTCAGTAGATTAGCGAAAAAGTAGAACGTGATTGTAAACGTAGTGCTTATATAACATCTGAGAGACATATTTCTTCCACGTCTAGCGATCTTCAACATCGTGTTTTGTTTCCAGGTTTCCTTTGCAGTTGTCCAGTCGGCCGCAACTGATGTCATCAGTGTGCGAAGTGCTTCCAGGTAAGAGATGATATATTGAGTAAATCAGAATGTTTATTAGGTAAGATAGTTGGGACATTTATTAAGTAAAGCGTGGTAGCATGGATGCAGTACTTACAGGGACGTTTGGTAAATTTTCGGAACGCTAATATTTATAATATTAAATAATTAATTCAGAAAGAGTCCTTTTAACTGCTTCTAATAAAATTTCATAAAATTATACATGAATATGTATGACTTGAATAAATTATATTAATATATATTTATATATAAATATAATATATATAATTATATATAACTAATAATATATAATTATAATTATATTATATTAAACTATTATGTATAGTTAATAATATATACGTATATATAAATTTACGTTAATAATATATAAACGTATATATAAATACATATATATATATATATATATATATATATATATATATATATACAAATATATATATACAAATATGTAAAAAATGAAAATATATATATAGACTACTATAAAAATATAAACTTGATGCTACAATATTACTAGGTTAAATCCATCGTAAATTACATATATGTACAATAGGCAACAATGTTAGTAATATTTATATATACGAAAGGTCAATAACAATGATAATTGACGAATAATATATAGACACTAAATAAAACAAAGTCAAATTTGACTAAAAGATTAAACAAAATTTTATGAATGATCAATTATTAATACGAATATGGACAGTGAGAGTGCAGAAAAATTGCATAAAAATTATTAAATAATTGTTGTTACAAGTTGTAGAAATTATTTTGGATGATAAGTCAATGTGAGTTATATTATATGCAAAAAAAATTAATTTGATAGATTTTTTGGAATATTTAAATAATTAATATCAATTAATTAACTGACAATACATTGTTAATATGTTGTAAATTTATTGTTACTGTCTCGGGAAGAATTCTCACTTACTTTCACCGTGATACCAGGTGACAATCAGCTTGCACAATGCCATTAAACTGTAGTTAGCAGAAGCAACGTGTTTCACCATTAAACCCACGTTACCCCAGGAATGTATCACATTCAAGAATTGCGGCATGAACACATAAATGCTTAGAATACACACCACAATCATAAATCTTAACTTGGGCCGGCGAATATCACTTAAAGAAGTATGAGGATCAGGCCATACGCCTAGTAACCGCAGCCATTGGTGACTCAAGGCAAACGTGAAACGCAAATCTAATAAAAATAAATTGTAGAAAAAAGTAACATCTCACTGTATTAAATTAGAGAATTACACTCGTTATTAAATATTAATTATATCGATGAGTAACGAAATAATCCCAGACAGCACAAGATCTCCTGAGGACATCCTAAGGACGTCCTGAGGACGAAGAATGTCCTCAGGATGTCCTCTGGATGTCCCCTGGACATCTGTGCTATTAGGGATAGTCCTAACATAATATCATTATTTTAAAATAAAGAGTGGAATGTTTTTAAGTATTAAGTATTTTAACTATTTTAAGTTTCGAAGTATTTTTGCTTGAATATTCCTTCTGATATTTTCATATTTTCAAGTTCGAATATATATTTTACTATTTGCGTTATTTCTATTTGCACACATATCTTCCTTATTATAATGTAATTTTTTAATTTAATTTTAAGAAAAAGATTTCTGTAATTTTTGGTCCCTTCATTTTCCTCTGAGCAATAGAGTTTTCGATTTTATTATTCTAGACGGAAAAAAAACCAATTCGTTCACAGTAACTTTTCAAGCGCTTGTTTTTTGCGACATGTCGAACCTTGCTACACTTTAGTGAGTCTCTACCTCAGAAACGAATATTTTTTGTTAGGGTATAAAGCTGAAATAAACTTTGATGCCAACTTTCGCAAACTTTCACAGTAGCAAAAAGTTTTATGATAGATGTATAGACTGGCCATAGTAAAACATGATTCTAGCGAAATTTCCGTACGAAACGATAAGATTAAATCTTCTCTGTGTATAACACAATCATCATTTATATAACATTTATTTATGTGTCTCTCTTTAAATGAGTTAGATTTTTAATAAAAATGTTAAATAATTATACAAAAATATAATAATTTTAAAACGTTGTACTTTAATACACTTTAAGCAAATAAAACAAATAAATTAAATAAAGTTTAATTTTGATTTTGTATAACAAAATATTATAAGAATACTGAAAATCAAACACATTTCCCAATGCAACTAACAGTACGTCGTAAGAAAAATGTGATATTTGCCAATTCTTTTTACTATTATGTTTTTTACTATCACACAAAAGTAATTTTTAACAATTAATGGACTGTGTTCTTCGCTGATGTTTAAATCAAGGAAAAATTTATAAATATTGCACTGTATGATATCATATAAACTATAAGATATTAGATAAGTATTTCGTAAAGCAAATAAGCATATTTAATAAGACATCGCGCGGTTGTTACTTTCACGCTTATTTGTTCTAAGTAGGCTTCTACCTTTTTTAACGCTCATTGAAGTTCGCGCAACGGAAATTATTGTTTGACTGAGTCACTCTTCGCGATCATACCAAACCGCCGTGATTTTGCGCTTGCTCAGTACAGTAAGAATTAAATAGCTACCATCTATGAGTACCTTTGTAAACCCTTTCGGATAGTAATCGATAACGAAATATATGGTATGTAATCGTCACACGTTAAGTTAGTTATTGCAAGCGCAATGTTTCCTCTTCGTATATGAAAAAACTGTTTACCTGGTGAAGGTATTCGTTCATTAAAATCCACTGTTGTCTTTCCTTTCTCGTTGTTGCACAAAATCAGAATGAATATTACATAGCATTACAAGCATTACATTTCATTATAACCAAAAATAAGGCAAGCTGATTACATCTTTATCACCGCAAATGTCAAATTGCATATGCAATAATGTCTCGCGTTAAGTGAACACACAAGAAACGTACACGAGACCGATCATGTAGTTCAACGCGACATTTTTGATTCAGCAGAGGCAAAGTTATCATTGTCATCATAACGGTTAATTAGATTGAGTTCTAAGTAAGCTCAATCGATTCGTCACAGCCCGATTATGTGATAAAAGTGTTTCTGTTTTTGCTTTATATACCTTTTGATCAAAGATATTCCAGCGCTAGGTCAGAAATTATCCAAGTTTCGTCATTCACAAATGCAGGAACGATGTCATCGATTAATTTCAGCAATGTTTCTTTCCGACGAATACCACGAGAGAGTGCCACTTGCACTTACATCACCGAAGTGGCGCCGCATACACGTTCGAGATAGTATAGAGATAAATAGAAGTTCATAGAGAGAATTCATTTAAAGAATATCTAAAGAATTAGAAAAATGAATATCGGAAGAATTCCTGAAGAATTATCCGAGCCTAATTTATTCTAAAGTATTCCTTGAAACTTCAATATAAATATTTTGCCAATCATTACTTGGGATATTCTAAGAATTCATGAGAAATTATTATTGTTAGCTAATTTTATTTACATTTTATGGTTACATTAAACAGATATCCTATTGCTTATAATAAGCGTTGATTTTTGTATATTTTTGTATACATACGTTTAATTAATTTAATTAAATGTTATATGTTATGATGGATTTTTTCTTTCTTTTTTTTAATTGGGCTCCTTTATAATAAATTGGTAAGTACTATTTTATATTTAAATAAATAACTCAACGTTTATAATCTTTTATGACTTTGTCTACTTAATAACAGTTAACAATAAAAAAATGTTTACCATAAAAATTTATACATAACGGAATGGGATGTGCGAGATTTTGTAGATCTTACCTAGCTAAAGATTAAATTGACAATAAAAGTACGAAAAATATAATTTTTATTAAAATTAAATCATTTTATTAAAGAATATTATCAAAATATTATATTACTATATTAATTATAACTTATATAGACAAAATGTAAGACGTTTATATCGATCGAAGAGATGGTGTAGTATTTCAAGCAACAGACTCATAATCCCAGAGAGATGTGCTTCAGGGTCCAAGTTCGAGTCCAGTGCCAGTGAGGATTTGTAAATATGATGTAACATTGGAATCAAGCAATCTAAAATTTTTAAATAAAATCAGCAAACGCTGTGTGACATTTACGAATATTTCTTGTTAGAAGAAAATAAATACATATCACATATAAAAAATTTATAAAATATACTGTTGTTCCATAAGTAATACAAAATGAATATTTTAAGACGTTGTCAGAACTTTTAATTATAGTGCATGTAACTTCCTTAGTCGTTCCCAAAGTATACTCTTTACAAATTCTTAAAGAATTGCTGTTCAAGAAAGAAGAATACTTCGGCAATACTTTAGGAATTTATTGTATCTGTGGTATTGGATACCGTACTGTGGATTTCGCTGCAAACTTTCCACATTCTCTTTCCGCACTACTTCCATATCCGCAAGACGTATATACTCGTATTTTTCACATACACGTATTTCGCTAGCATATGTACACTTTCCACATATATTCTGGACTATTTCCGCACATTGTGTGCATACATTTCGTTTGTAGTCCATATGCTTTCCGTATTTATTGCGCATTAGTTCCACCATACATTCGCCAGTATTACTGCAAATACCGCATTGTTCTTACACTAATTCTGCACCTTTTCCGCGTCACAACTGAACACTTTCCGCATATACAGAGTGTCGTACTGTACCAGAGCTAATATAGGGTATCCCAGACTTTCCTCCGCATATTTTGTGAAAATATAGAACAAGTCGAGGTGAACATAAAAGTCCTATAATGTTTGGCGATATTCGCAATAATAGCCGAGATATTAATTAAAAAATTTGGTGAATAATCACATGCGATATAATAGATAAGCTGCAGTAGACAGATATCTGCCGTTCGCAGAACGCTATCTGCCGTTGGCAGATATAATGTATATTTATACATATATAATATTTTAAATATAATATTTTTTATATAATATTTTATATATTATATTTTATATATACATTATATAATGTATATTTATACATTATGTCGAAGTGAATAAAAAAGTCCTCTACCATTTTGCAAATAATTACGTAGACTTTTAATTATTCACGAAAGAAAATTGTTACATGGTTATGCTCGATAATATACAAATTTTCTTTAATTAATATCTAAAAATCTATGTGATTATTTGCAAAATGGTAGAAGACATTTTTGTTCAGTTTGATTTCATGTTTAAGTATACAACGGCAAACGGCGCTACTGTAGTTTATCTACCATATCGCGCGTGATTATTCACCATTTTTTTTAAATATCTTGAAATTTATTGCGAATATCGCAATAAACAGTATGGGACTTTTATGTTCATTTCAATCCGTTCTACGTTTCCACAAAATATACGGAGAAGAATCTGAGACACACTATAGAATAGGCTGGGGTAAGTAATGGAATCGTTGTCTTTTTCTAAATAACCACGTACAATTTTGAGATATTAATGATAAAAGATTTATGCCGAGCGGCAACCTACTGCACCTAACCTATTCTAGCTATATATTAGCTCTGGAACGGTACGAATCAGACACCCTGTATATCGCATTAACTCCGTATACTTTTCGAATTACATTAGAATTTTTTGTATGCATTCTGCACTATATCTGCACGTTTTCCACACTAATTCCATATATTTTTCACATACCTTCTGTAAATTCTGCACTACTTCCGCGTATTTTCCGCACTAATTCCACACACTTTTCTCAAGCTATTTCCGGAAACTTTCCACATTTTGTCTTGCTTTTGCACTAATTCTGCATACTTTCTGCATACATTCGATGTTACACATTTCCCATATCATTTTCGTATTATATCCGTACATTTCTCACATTAATGTCGCAACAGATTCGTTTTCTCTCCGTAACATTTTTCGTAAGACTTTACCAATTCTATCAGCATTATTTTCAGACTTTTCCACAAAGATTGTATACTGAAAATATTTTATAGCGTTTCTATATATACAATACAGAGTGTTCTCGCTCAATTTTACAATCTCTCGTGAGGGCGTAAAGCGAATTAATGTGAACACAAAAATTCTATACTGTTTTGCGGTATTTGCAAAAACTATCGAGATATAAATTAAAGAAGATTTATAAATGATAATGTTCGACATGGTAGATGAGTTGTAATGAAGATGTCTGACAACATGTGCTTGTATATTAAGTCACACAGAAAAAGAAAGCCCTCTACCATTTTGCAAATGACGACGTAGATTTTTAGTTATTAATTAAAGAAATTATTGCATTATCGCGTAAAACCGTGCAACAATTAATTATAAAAAGAATATTCTTTTGATAAGAATTTTCTTTTGGAACATAATATTAAGGGAAATATTATTTGTATTTAAAGCTCTTTTTAAGTGTGTAACTGCGTAATTTTCAATCAACTTCTCTTGAAAAGACAAAGTCGATAATAATATATGCGATAAGAAAAACATGTAAGCATAAAAATGCGATGAAAACATAATAAGGTTTACAGTAATATCTAAAATTGTTTCAGATTCAGAGTCAGATCATTTACATTGGAGATCTCTTAGAAATTCTGAAAACACTATATTGAAAGAGATCAAAATCACTATATTGAAGGAGTCCTTTATTGTTTTTTTGTAAATTTTAAAACTTCGGCACTTTTTAAAATCAGTGATAACTTTATAATAAAAAAGGAAAGAAGAAAAATATGTGTGCTTACGCTATCGATAAAAATTATAAATCAATGCAGATGCTCGTGTTTCTTCACAATCAGCGTCAGTTTGCTCCTGAAGTCCTCAACTATTTTCCGCCCAGGTCGTTGGAGAAATTCTTCAGTATTCTTGTAAATTCTGAAACTAATCGCAGACGTAAAATACCAGCATGAAGATAAAATTATCGCTGCCGATGTAGAACACAGTTGTGTTGTAAATCGAGAGGATCTGTCTCCAAGATCGGAATTCTGGTGATATCAAAGGGAAAATACGCCGTGTATATTATGGGGATATACTTTGTATATATATGATTAGCGCCATCTCTTAGAAAATCTACATTACTAATTCTCATACCTAATACTTATGCTTCTTTAAACAAGTGACTTCTTCAAACTTGATGTAAATCATAATCGAATACGGTAAAATGACAATAGAACAATTATCCACACAACTTATAGTCTAAAAAAATATATATTGTGTGAAAATATTTGTATGTAAACAAAGTTGTATTTAATGATGGAAATCTCACTAATCCGAACAACTTTAAAGAGAAGACCGCGAATTTCTCAGCTGTCAACTCAAGAAGAATTATAAATCCATATAAAATAAACATCATATCCTTTACATTCTTCGATGATATATCATACTATTTATATTAGTAAACGACGTACGCTACTTTAGCATATACTTTGTAAATTAAATTCCGACATCACACAAGTCATTATTAAGATGTACAATTCATCATTTAACTCTGCCAAAAGTCCTACAGCAGCCATAAGTTTTACAGAATGAAACAATAAATGTACAAAGGCGTCAACGAGGCATAACACAACCAATAAAACATGATACAAGAGGAAAGCCAACTTGATATTAGATATCTTCGCGTTGTTGTCGATTATTTTCTGAAAACAATGAAATTCTAAAATAATCTTAAGGTACTTTGTTACATACGATAACTAACTATTGAGCACAGATCACGAACTTCTTCGATATAATATATTGTATTATACTGCCAGGCATGCTCGACCATAATGCACAGGTAAGTCATACTCCGCCACTTCAAGAAATCAAAATATAGGATATTAGAAAAAAAAGAGTTTCTTATCCAAAAACTCTATTATACTTACTGTTTCATACTTTGCTCTATTATACTTACTGTTTTATAATATTATACTAGCTAAAACGCTGCAAAGTTATGAAATTATATTTAAATTAATATATGATATTATAGATAGTGAAACGTATATATAAAATAATAATTAATTTTGTTCAATAAATAATGAATACATTATGAGTAGCTCCCTAAATACACTCAATTACCAAAAATGCGTTTCTTTGATGCTTTGAAAATATATACCTAGTGCGAATGAACTTCTTGACTATTATAATAAAAGATAAAGAAAAAAAAACAACTAAATAACTTTACTGCTTTTTTAGGGACAAATAATTTATCATATACAGAAAAATATATTTCTTCAAGTCATATAACATACAGTGCATATAAGCAGATTGATCATTTATCATAAGAGAAATAGTGATTAGTTATGCCGAATTAATATGTTATTACTTCCAAAGTTATTTTCTCTAATTTCTTATTGTCAGCAACGCAGATAGATATCCCATTGACGTCTTCACTAACTACAATAAATCAAAGAATAAAACAATTTTTATTTTTAATTTTACGTATAGTAATGATAAACAAATTGCATCCAAAGCACACATGTCAGAATAATAGAGATATACACTCAATGCATATAAAAAATATTATTCTATTGCTAAGAAAAGTGACTACTTAATTTACTTTCCTTCTTTTAAGTAATAATTATTTTAAGTAATAATTATTTTGAGTAAAGAACATTTTCCTGATAATAGGCTTAAAAATATAGTTATCCCAAATTTAAAAAAAATTTTGTGTCATGTATTTTGTGTCATGTATTTAAAAGAAGAATTTATTCTCTTTACAAGAACATTATAAAACTCTATCCAAAGAAAAATTGTTTTGGCTCTATGTAGTAAACAAATCGACTTTTTGTTTTAGTTGAATTTTAATTTTATATAATTTTGATTGCGAAATGTTTACTAGATTTCATAATATGGTTTTAATCAATTTGGTACGTAGAATGAACTTTTATAATAGATTTTTTCATGTATAAACTTATTAAATATATTTAAAAAATAGCTATTAGTTGAATGCAATATATATATTTATCTATGCGTAGCTATTCTGTAAGTAAGATATTCTTCGTATGAATTGCATTGAGAAAATTATGTACTTTCACAGATATCTTACCGTTCCGAACATTTCCATAGAAAAAGTGGCAAATTTTCCAGCTGTCATTTTAAGTGGAATCCTAGATCGATGAACTATAAACATCAAGTCTTGCGCGTTTTTCGACGGCAAATCGTACCACTGGCATTCATACACGCCATATGCCACATTGGTACTCTGAGAATGATATTTTCATGTCATCATAAATCATTATTAGGGAATATAATTCGTTATTTACCTCCGCCATTAATTGTTCAGATGAGTAACAATAAAAGTATAACCGTACCAATAGACCTACTACATAACATGCACGAAAACCCATTTGGGTAATGGAGATATTCTTATTTTCGCCCGATATAATCTGAAAATAATACAATTCTAGTTTAGATGTATGGTTATCTGGAAGTTATTTTACGAAAATATAATGTAATTAAATCTAATCTTCTTTTGTGCACTTAATAATACGTCATTAAATATATAAAGATTAAAGACTAGTCGTTTAGTAGGTTTATACAATTTGCTTTAAGGAGACCAGAAAAGTTTAAAAAAAAATCAATTTTAAGTTTTTTGCATTTTTGGATAGTGTGATTGTTTAGACATAATTGTTTCAGTTTATTAAGTTGGAAAATTTGAAATATTGTTTGTGGTTTCTGATTATGTCAACTATATATTGCGTCAACCAGATTCATTAGTAAAATACAAAACAACCAATTATAATATATATGTGGTTGCTGCAATCGCAGAGCAATTGCTAAGTTACTGTCGTTGCAGCAAGGACGATATCTGGTTGTCCCAACAGAATGTATGCATAGTAAATATCAACACAATCCATTTCTGATTGCCACAACAATATCAGTTCTAACATTGATATAATTAATGTACCAAAGTAACTGAGTCATATCAACCATATACATTACCATCACGCAAAAATAACTAGAGTAATGCAAATATGTTGTCACAACAAAATATTTCCCATTGTGTATACTAAATGTTTTTTCTGCGTACTTACCATGAATAACTCAAAGCTTTGAAAGCACATTTGAATAGTGGTGGCTATCATATATATTAATGATACTGCATTGTAACAATTGTTAATCGTTTCTGTCATCCTTGGAAATTCGTAAAATTCAAACTTTTGCATTATTAAATTACACGCCAAAATTTCCATAACGTACCTGATGAGATTAATGTGTCGTACGATAATCGTACCTAGATCTTTCTTAAACGTTGAGAAGGATATAGATTTTCCAACCAACTTCTTCACCAGTATGTTGAGCATCATCCGTAGATTTATCAGCTGCGCAGATATATGCAACAAAAGCATCGGGATAAAGGTACCAATGGTAGCACTGATAAAACCCGTAGATATGGCGCCAAATACTTGAATAAAATATGTAATTTCGTAGTTTGGACTTTTTTGGCTGATATAGTAGTCAACATGAAAGACGAGCTTCCGTTGACCGACAGGTTGATGCATGTTTCGGTGTAAATTCAGTACACTAACGAAAATGAAGAAAGTACTTGCGAACGTGGTGCTCATATAACATTTGAAAGCTATGTTTCTCCCACGTCTCGCGATCTTCAACATTGTGCTTTGTTTCCAGGTTTCCTTTGAAGATGTCCAGTCGGCCGCAATCGATGTCATTAGTGTGTGAAGTGCTTCCAAGTAAGAGATGATATATTGAGTAAATCAGAATGTTTAGGTAAGATAGTTGGGACGTTCATTAAGTAAAGCGTGGTAACATGGATGCAGTACCTACAGGGACGTTTGGTGAATTTTCGGGACGCTAATATTTATAATATTAATTAATTCAGAGAGAGAGAGTCCTTAACTGCTTATAATAAAATTTTAACATACATGGATATGTATGATTTGAATAAATTATATTTATATATATTTATATAATATATATAAACGTATATATATGTATATATATAATTACATATATTTATATATGTATGTATATATATAAAAACTAAAAATATATAGACTATTAAAAATATAATCCTGAAACTACAATACTACTAGTTTAAATCTATAAAGTATATATATGTACAATAGGCAACAATGTTAGTGTTATTTATTTATGTATTATATATATACGAAAAACTATAGACAATAACAATGATAATTGACAAATAGTATATAAATACATAAATAAAACAAAATCAAATTTGACTAAATGATTAAACAAAATTTTATTAAACAGGCCAATTATTAATACGAATATCGACTGTCAGAGTGCACCAAAATTGCATAATAATAACTAAGTAATTCGTGTTATAAGTTGCAAAGATTATTTTGGATATGTGTGTATGTGTGATACGTTATACAATGATAGTTATAGTACATGCAGATAAAAACTAAATTTGATAGATTTTTTGAAGTATTTAAATAATTAATACCGCTTAATTAGTTAATTGTTAATATATTGTTAATATATTGTAAATGTATTGTTACTATCTCGGAAAGAGTTATCACTTACTTTCACCGTGATACCAGGTGACAAACAGCTGGCATAATGCCATCAAACTGTGGATAACAGATGCGATGTGTTTCACCATTGGACCTATGTCACCCCAGGAATATATCACATTCAAAAATTGCGGCATCAGCACATAAATGCATATAAGACACACCATAATCATGGATCTTAACTTGGGCCGGCGAATATCACTCAAAGAGGTATGAGGATCAGGCCATACGCCTAGTAAGCGCAGACATTGGTGACTCAAGGCAAACGAGAAACGCAAATCTAATAAAAGTAAATTGTAGAAAAAAGTAACATCTCACTGTATTAAATTAAAGAATTAAACTCGTTATTAAATATTTATATCGATGAGTAACGAAGTAATAATCCTAACATAATATCATTATTTTAAAATAAAGAGTAGAATGTTTTTAAGTATTAAGTATTTTAACTATTTTAAGTTTCGAAGTATTTTTACTTGAGTATTCCTTCTGATATTTTAACATTTTCAGGTCCAAAGTATATATTTCACTATTTGCATTCTATTTGTACACATATCTTCCGTATTATAATGTAACATTTTTAAAGTTAACTTTAAGAAAAAGATTTCTGTAATTTTTGGTCCCTTCATTTTCCTCTGAGCAATAGAGTTTTCGATTTTATTATTCTAGACGGAAAAAAAACCAATTCGTTCACAGTAACTTTTCAAGCGCTTGTTTTTTGCGACATGTCGAACCTTGCTACACTTTAGTGAGTCTACCTCAGAAGCGAAAATTTTTTGTTAGGGTATAAAGCTGAAATAAACTTTGATGCCAACTTTCGCAAACTTTGATGGTAGCAAAAAGTTCTATGACAGATGTATAGACCGGTCATAGTAAAACATGATTTTAGCGGAATTTCCCTGCGAAGCAATAAAATTAAATCTTCTCTGTGTATAACACAACCATCATTTATATAACATTTATTTATATGTTTCTCTTTAAATTAGTTAGATTTTTAATAAAAAATATTAAATAATTACACTAAAATAAAATAATTTTAAAACGTTGCACTTTAATACACTTTAAGTAAATAAAACAAATAAATTAAATGAAGTTTTGATTTTGTATAACAAAATATTATGAGAATACTGAAAATCAAACACATTTCCCAATGCAACTAACAGTATGTCGTAAGGAAAATGTGATATTCGCCAATTCTTTTTACTATTATGTTTGGTATCACGCGAAAGTAATTTTTAACAATTGATGCACTGCTCTTCACTGATGTTTAAATCAAGAAAAAATTTGTAATTATTGCATGGTATGATATCATATAAACTATAAGACATTAGATAAGCATTTCATAACGCAATTAAGCAAATTTAATAAGATATCGCGATTGTTACTTTCACGTTCATTGGTTCTAAACAGACTTCTACCTTTTTTGTCGCTCATTGAAGTTCGCGCAACGAAAATTATTGTTTGACTGAGTCGCTTCTCGCGATCATACCAAGCCGCCGTGATTTTGCGCTTGCTCAGTACGGTAAGAATTAAATAGCTACCATCTATGAGTACCTTTGTGAACTTTTTCGAGTAATAATCGATAACGAAATATATAGAATACAATCGTCACACGTTAAGTCAGTTATTGCGAACGCAATATTTCCTCTTCGCATATGAGAAAACTGTTTACCTGGTGAAGCTACTCGTTCATTAAAATTCTCTGTTATCTTGTCATTGTCACACAAAATCAGAAGAAATATTACTCAAGCAAAAATAAGGCAAGCTAATCATTTTTATCACCGCAAAAATGCAGTAATGTCTCGCGTTAAATAAATACACAAGAAACGTGCACGAGTTCGACTATGTAGTTCAACGCGACATTTTTGATTCAGCAGAGGCAAAGTTATCATTGTCATCATAACGGTTAATTAGATTGAGTTCTAAGTAAGCTCAATCGATTCGTCACAGCCCGATTATGTGATAAAAGTGTTTCTGTTTTTGCTTTATATACCTTTTGATCAAAGATATTCCAGCGCTAGGTCAGGAATTACCCAAGTTCTGTTATCCAGAAATGCAGAAACGATGTCATCGATTAATTTCAGCAATGTTTCTTTCCGACAAACACCACGAGAGAGTGCCATCACCGCTCACATCATCGAAGTGGCGCCACATACAGGTCCTAGATAGCATAGAGATGAATAGAAGTTCATAGAGAGAATTCATTTTAAAGAATATCTAAAGAATTAGAAAAATGAATATCTAAAGAATTCCTGAAGAATTATCCGAGCCTAATTTATTCTAAAATATTCCTTGAAACTTCATTATAATGAATATTTCGCGAATCATTACTCGGGATACTCTGAGAATTCGTGAGAAATTATTATTGTTAGCTAATTTTATTTACATTTTATGGTTACATTGAATAACCCATCGCTTATAATAAGCGTTGGTTTTTATTTATTTATATACATACATTTAATTAATTTAATTAAATCTTTTATAATATGATGAATTTTTTCTTTTTTTTATCGTTTTTTTATAATTAATTGGTAAGCGCTATTTTATAATTAAATAAATTACTCAACGTTTATAGTCTTTTACGACTTTGTCTATTTAATAACAGTTAACAATAAAAAAATGTTTACCATAAAAATTTAAACATAACGAAATGAGATGTGCGGGATTTTGTAGACCTTACCTAGCTAAAAATTAAATTAACAATAAAAGTATGAAAAATATAATTTTTATTAAAATTAAATTATTTTATTAAATAATTGTATCGAAAAATTATATTACTGTATTAATTACAACTCATATAGACAAAATGTAACGTTTATATCGATCGAAGAAGTCGTATAGTGTTTCAAGCAACAGACTTATAATCCCAGAGAGGTGCCTCAGGGTCCATTTTCGAGTCCAGTGCTAGTGATAATTTTTAAATATGATGTAACATTGGACTCAAGTAAAAATTTTTAAATAAAATCAGCAAACGCTATGTGACATTTACAAATATTTCTTATTAGAAAAAAGTAAATACATATCATATATAAAAATATTTATAAAATATACATCTGTTGTTCCATTAGTAATTCAGTACTAATTCAGCACATTTTTCTCGTCACTTTCCGCATTAATTCCATACACTTTTCGTATTACATCAGAATATTTTTTTGTATGCATTCTGCTCTATGTCTGCACGTTTTCCGCACTAATTCCGCATATTTTGCACAAATATTGCGCATTATTTTCCGTAGATTTGGCACTACTTCCGCGCATTTCCCGCGCAAATTCCACACACGTTTGTTAAGCTTTTCAGTAAGAATTTTCTTTTCGAATATAAGATCACAGAAAATATTATTTGTATTTAAAGCTTTTTCTTTAAGTGTTTAACTGCGTAATTTTCAATCAACTTCTCATGAAAAGACAACGTCGATAATAATGTATAAGATAAGAAAACATGAAAGCATAAAAATACGATGAAGACATAATAAGATTTACAGTAATACGTAAAATTGTGTCAGGTTTGCATCATTTACATTATTCCTAGATCTCTAGGAATTCTGAAAGCACAACTGAAGAGTACAAGAAAGTATATGCATCAAAATTACTATATTGAAGGAGTCATTTATTTATTAAGGAGTGTTTTGTAAATTTTAAAACATATTGCTATTTTTTAAAATCAATGACAACTTTATAATAAAAAAGGAAAGAAGAAAAATATCTTTCCTTACGCTCGATTAGAAATTACGAATCAATTCAGATGTTCGTGTTTCTTTACAATCAGCATCAGCTTGCTCTTGAAGTCCTCAACTATTTTCTGCCCAGGTCGTTGGAGAGATTCTTCATTCTTGTAAATTCTGAAACCGCAGACGTGAAACATGAAAATGAAATTATCACTGCCGATGTGGAACACAGTCATGCTGTATATCGACAGGATATACAGGATGTCTCGAAAAGCGGACCTCTGGAAATATCGAAGGGAAAATATGCCGTGTATATTATGAAACAAGTAGGACTACTCCGTTATAACCTGATATCATCAAGATTCTAAGTACAATGTAGATAGTCATGGATTTTTTTAGGCATTGTTCTTTATGCGTCAGATTAATATTCTGACCAAGACACTTCTCAGCATAGCTATTTTATAACATAAAGTTTTCGAAACATGCCAGTTTTGATAGAAAAACTTGAGAAGATGGTTCAAAGCTTCAGATAAATATTTTATTTTGCATATCTCTCTTTGTACGAAAATATTCGCCTTTCTTCTTTCTGCGGAAACACAATTTTTTCTTCGAATCGTTCAATTAAATTAATTAATTAATATTCCATATTTTACACAGTCGTGCTTTTGATAGCTGGAGTAATAAAGAATAATAAAATAGTACTTCTAAGGTAATAATAATATCATATATAATACTTGTAAGATAATAATAATAATATAATAATATCAAGATAATAATTCTTACAAATAGTTGAAAGATTGCTCAAGAAAGAAATACAGAAATTAAAATTCAGTTCAACGAATCTTGCTAGTATATAAACGATTATGCTTCTTTAAACAAGTGACTTCTTCACACTTGATTTAAATCATAATCGAATACGATAAAACGACAGTGGAAAAATTATCCACACAATCTTTAGTCTAAAAAAAAAGATATCATTGTGTGAAAAGATTTGTATGTAAAGAAAGTTATATTTAATGGTGGAAGTTTTACTGCTCTGAACAACTTCAATAAAAAGAATTTCTCAGCTGTTAGGTCAAGGAGAATCGTAAATCCGTATATAATAAACATCATGTCCTTCACATTTTTCGATAGTATATCTTACTATTTGTATTCCTACACGTTGTACGTTATTTCAGTATATGCTTTGTAAATTACATTCCAACATTACACAAGTCATTATTAAGGTGTACAATTCATCATTTAACTCTGCCAAAAGTCTTACAGCAGCTATAAGTTTTGCAGAATAAAACAATAAATGTACAACATCGTCAAGTGAGACATAACACAACCAACAAAACATGATAGAAGAGGAAAGCCAACTTGATATTAATTATCTTCGAGTTGTCGATTATTTTCTGAAAACAATGAAATCCTGAGATAATCTTAAAGCAACTTTGTTTTACACGTGATAACTAAATATTGAGCATAAATCACAGGCTTCTGTATAATATATTACACTGCCGGGCATGCTCGAATATAATGCACAAGTAAATTATACTCCGCCATATTTCGAGAAATCAAGATACAGGATATTAGAAAAAGAAAGAGTTTCTTATGGCAAAGCTATTAAAATGCTGTTTTATATTTACTGTTTTATACTTTGAACAATATTGTACTAAGTAAAACGTGACAAAACCATAAAATTAACTTCAATATAATATCTGATATTATAGATAGTGAAACGTATATACGAAAACATAATTTTGTTTGATAAATAATGAATAAATTATGAGTAGCTCACTAAATACACTCAATTACCGAAAATGCGTTTCTTGGATGCTTTGGAAATATATACCTGATGTAAATAAACTTCTTAACTATTATAATAAAAGATGAAGGAAAAAACAACTAAATAACCTTACTGTTTTTTAGTGATAAATAATTTATCATATACAGAAAGATATATTTCTTCAAGTCATATAACATACAGTGCATATAAGCAGATTAATCACTTATCATATGAGAAATAGTGATTAGTTATGCCGAATTAATATGTTATTATTTCCAATGTTATCTTCTCTAATTTCTTATTGTTAACAACATAGATAAATATCCCATTGATGTCTTCACTAACTACAATAAAACAAAGAATAAAACAATTTTTATTTTTAATTTTACGTATAGTAATGATAAACAAATTGCATCCAAAATACACATGTCAGAATAATAGAGATATACATTTAATGCATATAAAATATAATTATTATTCTACTGCTAAGAAAAGGGACTACTTAATTTACTTTCCTTTTTTTAAGTAATAGTATAATAGTTATTTATATAATAATATAATAGTAAGTATATAATAATATAATAATAGTTATTTTGAGTAAAAAATATTTTCCTGATAATATAATTAAAAATATAGGCTTAAAAATATAGTTATCCCAAATTTAAAGAAATTTTTGTATCATGTACTAGATTTGAGGCTTTCACGGCCATTGATACAATGTCTAGGTATAGCTTCCGGAATGGAGCCGTGTCTTGAATCAGCGATATGCCGACGTTTCGCAAACGTTGCAGTTTGCATCATCAGGGCTGAGAACTCTGATACTGAGGCTCCATTCCGGAAGCTATACCTAGATTTTGTATCATGTGTTTAAAAGAAGAATTTATTCTGTTTACAAGAACATCATAAAATTCTATCCAAAGAAAAATTGATTTAGCTCTATGTAGTAAACAAATCGACTTTTTGATTTAGTTGAATTTTAATTTTATATAATTTTGATTGTGAAATTTTTACTAGATTTTAGAATATATTTTTAATCAACTTGGTACGTATAATGAACATTTTTAATAGATTTTCTGATATATAAAGCTATGAAATATATTTAAAAAATAATAATTAGTGTGTGTGAATTCAATATACATTTATCTGTACGTAGCTATTCTGTAAGTAAAACATTCTTTGCATGAATTGCATCTAGAAAATTATGCATTTTTGTAGATATCTTACCGTTCCGAACATCTCCATAGAAAAAATGGCGAATTTTCCAGCTCTCATTTTAAGTGGAATCCTAGATTGATAAACTATAAACATCAAGTCTTGCGCGTTTTTCGACGGCAAATCGTACCACTGGCATTCATATACGCCATATGCCATATTGGTACTCTGAGAATGATATTTTCATGTCATCGTAAATCATTATTAGGGAGTATAATTTGTTATTTACCTCCGCCATTAATTGTTCAGATGAGTAACAATGAATATATAACCGTAGTAATTGACCTGTGAGATATAATGCACGAAAACCTATTTGCATAATGGAGATATTCTTACCTTCGCTCGATATAATCTGAAAATAATGCAATTGTGGTTTAAGTGGATGTATATATTATTATATTTGTAAGTAATTTTGCGCAAATATAGTGTGATTAATTCTAATCTTCTTTTGTGGACTTAATGATGCATCGCTAAAAGTATATAAAGATCAAAGACGAGTCGTTTATACAATTTGCTTTAAGGAGACCAGAAAAGTTAAAAAAAAAATTAATTTTAAGTGTTTTGTATTTTTGGGTAGTGATTGTTTAGATATAATTTTTTCAGTTTATTAAGTTAAAGAATTCGAAATATTAAGTTCAGTACAACAAAAAATTTAAGTGTAAACTGATACACGGTCGGTTTGCTCAGTCGAAAATGAAATAGTTACTAGCTTGCGAGAAACTAATTATAACATACTTGAGGCGTCAATATCACGAAAAGTTAAAGTAGACTAAAATCAGCTTACAAGTTGCGCGGCTGTTTCATTTTCGATTATGTGGCGCTGATGAAAATGACTCATAAAGATCCTTTGATGAAGTCAAACTTGTAATTATATATATTGTTACATATATGTAGTCATAGCCTTATTTAGTGATAAAAAAACGCAATAGCTTGATATAATGAGTAGCCTATCAATAGAAGACTTCATGTTGTCGAAATGTGCAAGACGATGAACAAGGATCGCCTCAAATACGCGGATATTATAGTATTTTCCGCAACAAAAAAGCCAAAGAAAAACAAGTTGCTACAGAAGTTGAAAAAGACAGATAATTAATTAAAAAAATATTTTACATTCCAGACAATTTTTAAATGATGTCGGTAAACTATTTCACCTTCAAAAAATTATATAAAAACTTTAAACGTGTTTATCTCAAAAGTATATTTGATTTCTTTGATATTTCGTATTTTTGCTACCATTTGGTTAATTTTCATAGAATGTCTTAATTCAATTTATGATACAAAGCTTCCGCAACATAGTGTCGTTTGTCTCAATTTACAATCTCAATTTGGTTAATGCAAATCTTTGCAAAATAATAGCTCCGCGTGATTTACGTCGCGGAATGAATTGAAATATAGCAATTCTATATAATAACATAAACATTCATTGATATTGTAAATACGTTTTTATGATTAATATATAATATCAATATTTTATAAAAGGATTTTGTATTAAAACCAATTCCTATACTTGTACTAACGAAAGAAATTTCACTGATTTTTTATTAATCTAAATCTTTCTGTTCTCCTTAAATCTATGGAAAAACACGATATAATTGAATCACATAAAAATGTGGTTGTGTCAACGAGATTTATTAGTTTCAAAATACAAAACAACTAATTATGTGGTTGCTGCAATCACAGAGCAATTGCTGAGTTCCCGAGTCAAAATTTTGATGCTACTTTGGCACTTTTAAGGACAGGCCTACTTAAGGCCTACTTAAGGCCTACTTAGACTGTTTATAGCCTAGGTAAAACCTACTTTGACGATATTGATACTCATTAACTTCTCTTTTAAACTTTTAACTTTACTTTGTCAAAATGTTGACGTTACTTTGACGCTCTTAAAAATAGTTTGAGCCTGCTTAGATAATGTACAACCTAGCTGAAACCTATTTTAACGATATTGATATTCATTTCCGAGCCGAAATTTTGACCCTATATTGAACCTTAAATTCTATAAAATACATATATTCTATGTAGAAGCTAAAGCTTTAATAGAGATTCGCAACTGAACTTATTTTACTTCCTAAAATCGTACTGTTATACAACCTATTTTGACGCTAAAGAAAGCGAAAGCGGAAATTTCAGACATCATCAGGATCAAAGTAGGAGTAAATTATATCATTAGAATTAAACCTACTTTGCTATCTTAGCTTCTACTGCGGTGTAGAATTTAAGGTTTAACATAGGGTCAAAATTTCGACTCAGGTTACTGGTGTTGCAGCAAGGACGATATCTAGTTGTTCCAAACAGAATGTATTCATGATAAATATTACCCCAATCCATTTCTGATTGCCACAACCATATCAGGTCTAACATTGATATAGTTAATGTACCAAAATAACTCATATCAACACATTACCATCACACAAAGATAACTAGAGTAATGCAAATATGCTGTCACAATAAAATATTTCCGATTGTGTATATCAAATAATTCCTTTCTGCGTATTTACCATGAAAAGCTGAAAAGTTTGAAGGCACATATGAAAAGTGGTGGCTATCATATATATTAATGCTTCTGTACTGTAACAGTTGTTAATCCTTTCTGTCCTCCTTAGAAATTCGTTGAATTCAAACTTTTGCATTATTAAATTACACGCCAAAATTTTCATGACGTACCTGATGAGATTCTCATGTCGTACGACAATTGCAGCTAGTTCTTTCTTAAACGTTGAGAAGGATATAGATTTTTCAACCAACTTCTTCACCAGTATGTTGAGCATCATCCGCAGATTTATCAGCTGCGCAGATATATGCAACAAGAGTATCCCGATGAAGCAGTCAGTCGTAACATTGATTACAGCTGTAGATAAGCCGCCAAATATTTGAATGAGATAGGTAATTTCATAAGTTGGACTTTTTTTAATGTTATAGGAATAAGTAATCTGATAGATAAATTTTCGTTGACCAACAGGTTGATGTAAATTTCTATATAATTTCAGCAGGTTGCTTAACAAGTAGAACAAAGCTGAGATCATGGAACACATGTAAGTGCCATAAGATAAGTTTCTTCCACGCCTAGCGAATTTCAACATTGTGTTCCGTTTCCAGGTTTCCTTTGCAGTCGTCCAGTCGACCGTAATCAACTTTATCAGCGTGCGAAGTGCTTCCAAATCAGAGATGATTTATTGAATAAGTCATAGCACAGTCATATTGCATAAGTCAAAATACAGTTGGATTTGCATCAGATCAGGTGATAGTATGTATGCAGTACATATAGTGGTGACTTTGGTGTTTGGTGACTTTTCGGGACGCTAATGCTATCACAGAAACATGCTATCACTCACATACATACACACACACGCGCGCGCGCACACACAGCTGCTTAATAACTTATAATAAAATTTTAACATAGGGGAACCCGGGGCAATAATGGGCCAGTAAGATTTTTAAGCAAGTTTCAATTTGCTATTAAAAATAAATAAATCAACTTGGTTTTATACTGAAATATTCTTTGGAATATCTACTATAAGAAAAACATAAGTTTTATTGCAAAAGAATAGGTTAAAAGGACGAAATTATTGTTTTATTGAAAGCGTGCATTAACCTCATAATGCTGTTTATGCGGGGCATAATGGGATATCTCATAAAACTTGTTTATTTTCCAAAAATTAATATTCAAAATTTCTTAAAAGTGACTTAGAACACATAATATAGGTAGGAATACATTATTATATTTCTAATAATTTTTTATTAATAACACTTTTCTTGTTACATTATATATATATTTTTGTCATTAAAATATAAATGAAAATTAAATTTTCGTGTAATTTCTGTGATTAATGCTTGGTATAAAATTTGCAAAACATAACAGGGTGAGTCTTTTAACTTTAAACTGTAAAATATCTAGAAAAATAAGCATTGTACGAAAAAATATTCTAAATAAACCCTCAATATTTTTGATTGGGCAATACTATTCCGCAAAAGTTAGCCGCTTCCCGCTCCCCCTGGTGGTAAGTTGGGGGATAATTTTGAAATCTTAAATGGGAACCCCTACTTTTTATAGCAGATTTGGATTTTACGTCTAAAAACACGTAAATTTTATTTAAAACATTTCTTTCTTGATAGATAGCGCTGCATTCAACGAAAATTGATTAACCTTCGTTTTTTTCAAGGAGAATCCCTATTTGATATTTGAGGCTTTCGCAGGGTCCATAAATATTAGATTTCTTTTTCCTATGTTTTATTGCATAATGATACTATGCTGAAGAAAAATAATATTTGTTACAATATGTTTCTCAAATTATCGTAGATGTCTACGATAATTTTTTATCTGTTCTTAGTTTTACCCATGATTAACGATGTGGACGTGACGGAAATTATAATCCCTTTGGAGTGCTTGTTTATTGTGAATTCCCTTGCCTCTCATATTTGGAATGCTTGTTTTCAGTGAGTCCTCTTGCCTCTCATCATTCAATTTAATAAGTGCTCGAACTGATGACCTTCAACTTCGATGTATTTATTGATCTAATAACAAAAATGATTAACCAATTTTCGCCGAATACAGCGTCATCTATCAGGAATTGAAAAAAATATTTCAGACAAAATTTACATGTTTTTAGACGTAGAATTCGAATCTGCAATAAAAAGTAGGGGTTCCCATTTAAAAAGTTTTAAAGTTAGCCTTCACTCCTCGTGGGGAGGGTCGGAAGCGGCTATTTTTTTGCAGGATAGTATTACACCCTCGAAAATATTGAGGATTTATTTGGAAAATTTTTTCGTACAATGCTTATTTTTTCAGACATTTTTCAGTCTCAAGTTAAAAAACTCACCCTGTATATTTATACACTGAGAGAAAAATTACCTTAAATTTAACAAATATTTCTTTGATGGGTACCATTAACATATTTATTTAAATCTAAATTCTCTTTATTTAAATCAAATATTGTTTACTTAAATCAGGTAAAAAATATTTGATTTAAATAAAGATAATTTAGATTTAAATAAATATGTTAACGGCACTCATCAAAGAAATATTTGTTGTTTTTAAGGTAATTTACTTAGTAGGTTGCAGAGAAAAAATAAAATCTTAAGAGAATATAACGTACAAATATGCCCCGTGTACTAGTGGCTCGTTATGCCTCGAAATGTATAAATTTACTGGAAATAATATAAAACACCATAGATAATCGATATTTGCACAGATTCTTTATTAAAGTGACAAGAAAAGATCGTTT